ACAGATACTATGCTTTCACATGCGCTTACACAGATTTCGGTCCGTCTCAGGCAATAAGTGTAGTGGGCATATTTATTTAAAGCTGAGAGCCTGCTAATTGGTTTTCTTGATTTGCAGAAAGTGTTGTTTTATACCAATGAGTAACTTATTTTTATTTCACCAAATGGTCAAAATTCGCGTCTTGGAGATTGTATATTTGTAGAAATAGGATCTTTTTGTATTATATTTTATTTAGAGTTGTCTGATGAAAATGCAAACTCGGAAACACTTCGAGCTATATTTTATTATTTCAGATTAGTCTATTTAATGCTTATGACTACTGTCGGTTTCTCCGATAACACAGGATATTAAAAAAATTATGTCAATAAGGAGAAAATGAAAAATTAAAGAAATGAGGTTTCACTTTGATGGATAGCGATATTTTGTCTTACTTTAAGCCGTTTCAGGACAGGGAATGTTTTGATATGAAATGTTCTTTCATTTACTATTTGTTTGTTTGTTTGTCTGTCAAACAATTCATTTGTTCCCAATTAATTTCAGTTCAGACTCAACTGGTCGATATTTTTTGCGAGGGGGGATTCTTTTGTTTAATTTTCCAGTTTTGTTTTTCAGTGCTTTTGAATGTATTCACTAGTAATTTTTTTAAAGGATTTTTTCATTTACCTTCGGTTACTTCATTCCTTTCTTCCCATGCAAACACATTTATTCCAGTCTTCTCCCTTGCATCACGCAGGTATTAAAATTTGTCTGCGATACTAGGCGTTCTCTTATTGATCCGAAGATGTGTCTAGATAAGAGTGCGTGGGAACAGTTGGGATGTTTTAGATTGGCCTGTATTTTTGAGAAAAATTTTACTTAACAAAGGAAAAAGAGGACTATTTCGTGTTCGCGTAGCCTCATGGGAAGGGAAAGTGATAATCCTTGGAGAAAACCCAGCAATAGTTTGTTGTGGCTGGACCAAAGGAAAAATGTTTCTCTGCTTAACAAGCTATACCTTCAGGGGGGTAGTTAAAAAATATCAACCCGAAATAATGAAAAAAATTGCACTCCGTCAATAAACGACGGGTTATCCAGATCAAGTTAAAAACAAACGCCGGAGACGTTTTTTTAATAGAGGAAACACGGTACGTGTACTTCTGGCTTTGTGAAGTGCACATAGATGAAAATTATATATGTTTTTCCAGGAGAGGACTTTTATTCGCCTAGTCTATGACTCTCAAGGAATTTTTCTCTTTTTTTTTCATCAAAATTCATGGACATATTGTTTTCCTTATACCACCTAGTTACTTTGAGTGTGGGGAAAGAAGCCAATAAAAACAGTCTACATATATCACGTGGTATTTGACGACCGTTTGCGGGTCTTTCAAATGCAGCAAGTTTACAGTTGTTTTCCCGAGCAATAACTTTATTGGATTTTCTATTACTAAAACGTCGTCAAAATGGAAGCAGAAAGGTAAAATATTGATAAAAAGTAACATTTTTCTTTAAGTTAAGTTTCTTTTGGACTCCACTCCAAATCGCAAGATCCATGATCTTGTTTTGATCAAACAGATCTTAACGTGAGCGATGGCGGAGTCTGAAATGTACGCCGTGTACTTCAAAAGTAGTGATCACTTTGTCAAAATCTTTCAGGAGCTCGTTATTATTACAAAATTTCCTCTTCGAAACGTTTCAAAATACAAATGTATTGATATTTCAATGCTTTGCGGTTCACGCATAAGCTTGCTTTGTAAGCAGAAACTACTGTAACAGTTCTAGCCAATGAGCTTAGTTTTTAATTACGAGTGGTCGACGACTGCACAAATTTTCATTTCGTAAAAGTTCGGTTATGATCACATTTGCTAAAGATTCAAGGATATTGATTTATGTACTTTAGACCAGCTTTCCTTTCAGTCTAACTGGCATTAAATTAATTTAAACGAGCTATTTCCCATGTTTAACACTGAACAGAGTCTGTTTGTAACATAACATTGGACAACATCATGCAAGTGGAATGTTCACATGATAGAAACGACCTTGACAATGATTTCTCTCTCTAAACTAACAGTTCACAGAGGAATACCAGCAGGCAATTATCTACGTCTTCAGTAGAAGAGAGTGTGCAGATGATAAAATCTGAAATGATACCGTGTTTACAGAATGCTATGCAAACCCTCCAGAACATCTGGAGCGAAATTGGTTTACAAGAAGATCAGAGAGAGGAGAGAACTAGATCTGTTTTGTTTCATTTACGGAATTTGCTTCAAGAAATGGTCAGCGAAGAGGAAGAAATGAAAGCCACTCTTCAAGCAAATGTGGAAACTTGTACTCAAGAATTGGAAAAGTTGAGCCAAGAACTTGGATTACCAGTGGAGAAGGTGGGTAGACATAAAGTGAGGTCAGATTGAATGATCACCAATGTCCAGACACATTTATACTTAAAAGACACTACTTGTTGGTGAAGTGAATGTTTCTCTTTGAATTGTCAGTTACTGTTAAATTTTATTGGTGATGATTGTTTTCAGCCAGAGAAGCCCATGAGCATACTTATGTTGGAAAATGACCTGCGCACAAAAGTGGACAACCTGAAACTGGTATAGTACATGTTCTTTTTAATTAGAAGATATCATCTCACATTTACACATTTGTGTTTTAGTGGACAATAACTTAGATTGATTTACCCATCAATACTATCATTGCTATCATGACCATTACCTACATGTACATGCAGCTATAGATGCAAATGATTAGCCTGTTGGCATGTAACTGCAATGAGTATATACTAAAGCGTTGGATAGGGTTGAAGGCATGCTTTGATTGGCTACTCAAACTCCAAAGTTTCTGTCCTATTCACCTCTGAGCATTTACACAGGTAATTTGTGCCCAATATATTGTAATTGTTGCAGGAATAAATGAGTTAAAATCTTTTTTTGTGTGCCATATTACAGTTGTATCCCACTGTTTTAGTTTATGCTTAAACAACTATTCACTTCAGTGGTTAGTGGTTGATATTTACCTTGATGCCTAGTGGCTCAGAAAACATCCACCACTAACCACCTCCACTTTGGTGAATAATTGTTAATTGATTTCTACCACACAGGTGAAAAGTGCTTTTAGTTTGAAAGAGATCAGCTACAGTAGTACTATTGCAGCCAGAGACAAAATGAGGCACAAGTTGCATCTCTTTAGGCTGGGTGTAGATATTAGAGAACAGTAGGTCTTTCCTTTCAAGCCAGACATTTCTCATTGTAGTTAGCTGACAACTGTCTCTTGTCACTTGTTAGAAACTGTAAGAAAAAAAAAGTTACTTTGTTATAGAAAGTGAACTTTATAAAGAGTGTGATCTTCCTTGCAGGAAAAACATGAGCGCATGAAAAAGTTAAAAACTTTGAGAGAAACAGAATCAAAGTTTTGTAATCAGATGTGCCTTCCTGCTCATAACCTGGGTGATGTTAATGTACCAACCAAGGAACAACTCAAAGAATTAGAGGCAAATGTGGAATACTTGCAGAAAGAACATGTGAGTGGAGTTATGTCTTTAACTGACTTGGGAAATAGTTGTTTTGGTACAGGAAGGAAAGGATTTGCAAAATGGATGTGTCATTCTCAAAAGAATTTCACCTTTTCAGTCAACCAACTGAATGAAAAGAGAAACATACTTTTAATTAGATTATAGACTATGTAGAGTTCTTCCTTTTTGGGAAAGTCTGTAGTGATAGTAAGAAAAAATATTGACCTCAGTGCTGATCAGAACTCTGGGAGTGAGGTATACAAAAGAAGTTCCTTGCAGCATGCTGACAGCAATTTTTTTTTCAATTTTTTTATTCTCCCGACAGACTTCCTTAAAAAGGGGGGGGGGCTGCTGATAGTTTAACTAAATTGAAAGTAATAATTGATGATGATGATGATACCAGTAATTACAATTATGCCTAATAGCCCTGCAGTAATTGTGGTATTTGTTACATGTAATACAGTATGTATGGATGCATGAGGATAACAATCTTTGGTGTATTCAGGGGTTTTAATAAAAGGCAGTTAGCATTGGTCTACCACTGGCTATAAGATCTGCCATCTGTTTATCCCACAAGCAGGCTGTTGTATTTGGGTTTTGTCTTATGGCACAGCTGCATATATTACTCCATCAGTAGCTGCTCAAGTAAAAAAACAAACAAACAAACAACTTTATTTAAGGAGGGTAACACACAACAGTAATTCAACTGATGAACTAGTGGCCTTCAATCCCAAAAGTACCATAATTAGAATTAAAATGTTTTCAAGGATTATAAAACTGGTTGACAGCTAGGTCTATAAGAATATAAGCTAAAAACTGGATAAAATAAAATATGCTGCCATAACAAAGAAATGGAAGAAGTTAGTGAAACCCCTTGTATTATATATTACTCCTCTGTTTTGTCTCAGGGAAAAAGGTTGAATACTTTCAAGGAATTAAAACAATCAATTCAGACACTGTGGAGAGAAATAGAGACAGTTCCATCAACTTCCATAGAAAAGGAACTGGCTAAAAGTGATGCAGAGACAACATTCAAGCTTTCATCTGACAATATGGAGCATCTGAGAGGACTTAATACTGAGGTAAGATGTTCTACTCCTTTGACGGAAAAAAAAGAAAAACAGATTTGAAAAGATCTCATCATTTTTATAAATTTGTTATGTGCACAGCTTGAAAATCAACAGAAGAGGTTAATTGCCGAATCATCTGAGTTGACAGAGACAATCAAATCACTGTGGAGCAAACTTGAAGTTGATGAGTCAGACAGGAAAGTCTTTCTTGCAAAGCATGTAGGATCTAAACCTTCTGTTATAACTAAGGTTAGTAGTCTTAAATTCTGACTTACTGACAGAGTGAGCTGAGGCAAAACAAGAAAAGAAATTATATGGTTGTTGATATCATGCACATGGACTAGTGTACCAGCAAGGAGAGAAACCTTTGACCAGTGTCATCACTCAACGGAAATCAGTATTGCTCATGCTCTAGTTTCATTACAGAAGGGTTGATAAAATTGCTGCTTTTCTAATGAACTATTTTTATTTTGTTGTACATGAAAGCTAACTGTTCTATTTTTCTCTGCTTCAGTTGAAAGAAGAAGTCCAAAGATTACAAGCCTTGAAACTACAGCATATGCAAAAATTCATAGACGGTCTCAGGTAAATCAGATGTTTCCAGCCACTTATTATTTTGAAAGCAAGTCATGCACAAAGTTCTACCTTCTTAGTTCTATTTAACCCTTTACAGCCTAACATCAATATCCACATTCTTCTCCAATAAAACATTTTCTTTTGTTGTGACAAGGAGAATTTACTTAACAATCAAAGCTTCTTGGGTTGGCGATCTTTTCCCTTTTTCTCATGATCTTAATGGATGATTCAGCAGTATTACTATAGGGAGAAATTAGATGCTGGTCACCCTT